TGGGATTCAATTGGCATTAGAATATTTTGGGATTCAATTGGCATTTAAAATATTCTAATTCAATGTCAATTTATCCGTTCGGCAAAATCATGGAATTGGTTACAAATTCAATTGGGATTCCAAATTCTCTGTTCGTATAGTCTAGTAATTGGGTTGGTTTTGGCTTTTGCTTATTTTCTACAAAAATTAAAAAAAAAAAGAAAAAATTAATTTATTTTGAAATTATTTCAACTTTTAATTTTTGTCATGTTAAATAGTATCATTTCTAGAATAATATATTTTGTTATCATATTCAAGGTGACAAAGAGGAAACTCTTTAAATTTTTATTTTTTAAATTTATCAATAATTTATATATTCATTATAATGATCAATTTAGGTAGTTCCAACACTGTTACATTAACATAAATATAAAAATTACAAAAATTGGTTATGTATGTAGTAATTAATTTAGTTCAAGTGATTGTTTTGAAACCAAAGAAATTAAACTGATTATAAAATGAAAGGGCGGTATTCACCCAATTTTATATATAATGTAACAACCACCTAAACATTTTATATATTCTTATCAAACATAGAATTTGGTGACAATATTACTCCAACCAATGTTCCTACCACTAAAACTAAAATACTACACAACGTTAAAGTCTTATACAAACAATAAAACTTAAAACTAATAGTTTTATTGAACATAAATTAACAAGACCATTTCATCTAAGCCTGTTTTGATAATCAATAAACATAGCTTGAGCTAATGCATCCCTAAATCTAGTCCACTCATGTGTAGATTGCACAAGTGTAATGTGATCAGAGTCGTCAACATTCGCACCACCTTGCATGTTTGACTGATTCTGTTCTTCCTCATTCTGATCATCACCATCTGGATTAACTCGGTTAAGAATCTCATGATCAACTTCTTCTAGTAATGGATCATTAGGTTCTTCTACTCGAATAAGATTGTGAAGGATAACACAAGCATTGATAATCTTCACAGTTGTTTTGACATCATAAAAAGACGCTTCTCTCAAAATTTTCCATCGCTTTTTCAACACACCAAAAACTCTCTCAATCACATTTCTAGCAGTTGCATGACGGAGGTTATATAACTCAGGAGTTTGTGGATTATTACCTTGGGCTGACCATTCATTGAGATGATATCTAGTTCCTCTATAAGGCGCAAGAAAACCAGGACCATTGGTATAACCCGCATCCACCAAAAAATATTTGCCTACAAAATCAAATGGAAACATTCTTATTAGTACTTTATACACCTTAAAAAACTAATGCACAAAGAAACAAAAAATATATATATTGAACAAATAGAATTGGCTAATTAGCACATACCTTTAGGAACTATAAAGGGGTGTTTTCTAGTCAAAGAATCTCGCAATACTCTACTATCAGCTGCAGATCCTTCCCATCTCGGTAAAGCATAAGTGAACTTTAGGTCACGAGAACATACCGCCAAGACATTTGTTGTGATGTTGCCTTTCCGATTTCTATACCTTCCTTGATCTCTCAATGGAACAACGAGTTCAACATGAGTCCCATCTAGTGCTCCAAGACAGTTTTAGATTAATAATTAGAATATCAAAATGAGACAGAAAAACTATTTAATAATGAATAAAAAAAGATCTGTACGTAAAACTTGATTTTAGAGAATTGAGTATCAATTTGTAAATCCCATGACTGGAACAAAGGTGCATCATGATAACAAGGTGCAAAAGACAGCTTGATTTTAAAAGACAGCTTTTACAAAATGCAGAGCTTTGCAAAAGCACAAACTCACAGACAGTGTTCCTTGAGGTAGTAAACTACACCCGTATGTAATTAATTGTTTCCTTTAACTTCTTCCTGCAACTAAGATACAAGCTCTTTCTTCCTTACAAGTATACACTAAGACCCAGACTTAACTAAGTAGCATCTAATTTTATTGATAAATAAGCTAATCAACAGAAATTGATCTAAGGTATGGCTCGCTCAAATGACCAGCCACAGATGTAAAAATTGATAATCAATTGTCTCTATATTTTTTTTTAAAAAATAAGGATTAAAAACAGAACACAACCCAAAGCAAATGGGTTCGGTTTCTTTTGACTTAAAAGTTCAACAGAAGAAAAAAAAGAGAAAGAGTTGGCGACTCACTTGCTAGGACAGCTACAATCTAGTATCTTCTGAAAGTTCTCCACAGTTCTCAGTCAAAACTCTAGAAAGAGAGAAATAACGCCGGCAATTTATACCTATACCTAAAACAAAAGACAAACCCAGTTCGAATATGATTCAATTAATAAAACTCACATAAAATTCATGAAAAAAAATAGAACAGCAAGAATTCGACCGAATATTCAGGTATCGGAATAATACTTGATGAACCAATATAAAGGAACCCTAATCTCGACAATAGAAAGTGAAGGAGAAAGAAAATTTGTGGGAGATCAGTGCAAAATCAGAGATATTGGTCCAATAGAAAGTGAAGGAGAAAGAAACCATTTTTTGAGTTTTGACTTGCTTTGCCAATTGACACTTGCTTTGAGTAATAACTATACTGAAAAAAAGTGGAATGAACGTCAACTAAACAATGCAAGTAAAGCCTGATTACTTTCACCAATAACATGATTAATATGAAGTGACAAAATCTAATTGAGCAGCAGAAGTAAATATATTCATTTCGATGTCAATAAAAGCAAGAGATAGCAGTCATGCCAATTGATCAACCAAAATCTTGTATGAGAAGACACAACGATGTCTAGGTTGCTCGATGATACATTGACATGAGAAGATAGTTACGGAAACAAATCGCGCAGCTGTGTTGCAAGTTTAACAAAAATTTCTGATTTAGTAAATAAATGCCATTGATCAACAAAACCTTGTTTGATCTTGTTTGAGCCCTAAAGTTCTCCGGGTTCTCTATAATGCGGGAGATTCGGTTGAAACAAAACCTTGTTTGCAGGGGTGTATAGGAAAAAGTGTGAAACATATGAAGCTAAAAGGACTTTTTCAAAAAACAGGAAAAAAAAAATAAAAAATTGAAGCTAAAAGGAGAAAGCAGGAAAGCCATGTGGTGTCTCTGGGGAAGAACAATGATGCAGGAACAGAGTCGTCCATATTACAAACAATTGCAAGAACGTAAACCTCAAAATGCATTAGAAAAGTAGGCAAAACGAAGAAACTGTAAACCCCTAGCTGCCATACTTTCATGCATCAATTTTCAGTGAATACTGTGTGATCTTTCAAGCAAGAGAACAAGCTAATTGTTTGGTGATCACGAGATAATCCAACTACAACTTAAACCTTAACAGTAGCTTAGAATAAGCAGCTACTTCTCCTCCAAATACTCTGATTAATAAGCTCAAATTGCATCTACTGTGGCTCTGCATTGAACTACTAATACAAAACTAGAAGCTGGACAGGATTAAAACTTCACCTTGCTGACCATTACAATGGTGCTACAATTTCATAATTCTACCCCACACAAACAAGGAAGGGACAGAAGATCATTAAACACTGAGCCATATAAGAAAACTAGTCGAATGATCCATATAAACATGCCCAAATCATAACACCCATACCGGCAAATGCTTCTAATTTGATAGTAAAAGACTAAAAGTAGCACATGGTGGCACGCCTGTTCACTACTCCAATACAACAGATGATAAACTTAAATCCGTTCAACAAACAAGCATCCAGCAACAATCAATGCTAAATAAATCGAGATAGGTAGTGATGTTTAAAAATTTACCGTGTCTGGTTCTTCTTCACTGAACCAAGATGAGAACAGCAGTCAAAAGATAAGCGAATAAAAAACAAGCCCAACTCGTCACTCCCAAATCTGTAATTGATATGGAATCAATGGAGTTAGCAGAATTTGATGGCTGCAATGGATAGAAAAAAATGAATTGAATCAATCATCTTTTGCTTAGATTTATATGAAAACCTAATCCATCCCTCAAATCATCGGAACCCAAAAAAGAAAAAGGAGAAGAGGAACACATACAAGGTGGTCGCTGCAGAATGATGAAGAAGAAGGAAACTGTGGTTGGTTGCGCCGCCGGTGGAGATGGAGAAGTCGTCCGTCAGAGTCATCCGTCCGTGGATGAGAGGAGAAAAAAAAAGAAATGAAATTAGACCGTATAAATTTTTAAAAAGTGGGGAGATCCGAATAACTTATAACCCGCTATTGACCCGGAAACGACCCGCGTTTGGCTCAACTCCACAGAATTTTGAAATCCCAAATAATAATTTCAAGCCCGGAATTAAAATTGTGGTATTGGAAGCCTTTTGGCATTGGACTAATGCCAATTCCATTCTTTTTTTTATAAGCCGAACGCCAGATTTGGCATTGGGGACTCAAATTCCAAATCCAAGCCCCCAATGCCATGCAAACAAACACACCCTTAGGAACTCTTCAATTTTCCAATGCCCATCTTTTTACATATATAAGCTTTATATAGCTTGGTGGAAGCCTTCGCTTGTATTAGGAAGCACAATAAACTACGTACCCAAGTTTTGGATAGATCTCGCTTATCTCTCCTCCGTATACTTATATATACTCCCTCTATCCCATAATTATTGTCCATTTTGAGTTTTCATTTTTAGTTCAATTGTCCAGTTTGGATTTTCATTTTTAGTTCAAATTGTACTAAAAGTGAAATCTCAAACTGGACAATAATTTTGGGACAGAGGGAGTAGTATATAAGTGTCACAAAATATTTGGATGATCAAAATATAAAAGAGTAAGCAAAAATATTTTGCATCAGCTCTATAAAGTAGAAGATTCCAATCTCCAATCTGATTGTACATAAGAATCGTTACAGTGTATGCTGCTTTGCTGTATTTGTTTTGATCAAATTTCATTGTTCAGTAAATTACATACTCTATTTCTTAATCTTTAAGATCCAACTCCATTCACTCTGTAAGATACTTCTATTGACATATAGACGTCGTTAGCACCCGGAGATAAGAACCCTAATCAATTATTTATAGTTCCACACATTACACTAATCCCACGATACACATATGTAAGATCTAAAACGAACAACCATTGAAATGTAGGAAATTTGAGATTGCTTTACTTTTTGGTGGCGGAAAGAGCATATAATGTGTCACATGTGTGGTATTCCTTGCTCTTTGATAGTAGTAAGCAATCAGCAAATTATTAGCCCAATATTTACAAAAATGATGAAAACAATCGTCCAGAATTATGGTCAGTTTCAAAAACAACCCTTCATCAATTAGCAAGAACACTGTAACTATGTCAAATCACTGCAAAAGTTTGGAATAATTAATAGTAATAACTTCCAAATAATAATAATACTCCTAAAGTCCTAATATGAACTCAAAACCGATACCGGACTAAACACCATTAAACCAACACTTGCATTATTGATAATATCACTTTGAAACCCAAAACCAACAAACTACTGATACTAATTAGACTGAACAACAACTGAAATTCTGAAAAACAGAGCATAGAACTCATTCCCTCTACATTAACATCACCAAGTCAGTAGCCATAGTAGTGGTGACCATAATAAGCGACGCTCTTGTACCCAGAACCCGAGGATTTCGCCTTCGGAGCAGCGCCGGCGACGTTCTTGTAGCCAGAACCCGACGATTTCGCCTTCGGAGCAGCTGCGGCGGCGGCGGCGGACTTCTTGGGAGCGGTGTAGGTGGTGGTCTTCTTGAACTTGACTTGGGTCTCGTACTCAGTGGTACAGCCCCGAGCTTTGTCGTTGACCTTCACCGACGACTTGTAACTCACTTCCTGCTTATACCCCTGATTCCCGGACCTCTTGTCCACAAATCCTCCGGCCTTCTCTGTTTTCGTGAACTTCGCTGAGCATCCGCCGCCGGCGGTGTTTCTGCAAACGGCTTTGGTGGTTTTTTGGGACTCAGAGGAATCAGTCCAGCCTCTCTTCCCGCCGGAGCTCTTCACCACCGCCTTAGATGACGATGAGGGAACAACTTCGATGTAGCCAATTCGTGCCATAACCTTCGGCTTCCCCGCCATTTTTCCCGATATGCTTTTTCTTTTTCTTTTTTTGTGTAGAAGAGTAAATTGGAAATGCTATGAAGGGAAATGGTATCAGTGATCAGTTTATTTGTAGGAGAAGAAGAGGAGTTATGATGACTATTGACATTCCAAATCCTTGTGAAATTGTTAGTCACTCCCTTTATTTGTGTTTGGATTGAAATTTGCCGAGAATTTTTGGCTTTATACTCATTTGACTTCTTCTTCTTCAGTAATTGTAATTTTTTTCTTTTTTATTTGAGGGAAAAGTTGCTCAACACGAACAAATGTTACAGTAGCTTTTGTACAGGAATAATAACTACAAGGGTCAATTACAATTCAAGCACTGTTCAAGGGAAACGGTGGTAATTTTACCTTTTTTTCTGTTTTAACCCTTGCTTTCTAACAAAATTGGTAGCGTACTCAACACACCTTATCGGATTATGAGGCGTACTGGATACACTTCTACAGCAATTTCGGTGAATGGGATAAAATTTGGGGAAAGTGGGCTATTTGAACAGTCGTCCCAACTCCCCGACCAAAATTTTTTTCTTTTTTCTTTTCACCTCTTTCCACATTTTACAGTAAAAATTTAACTTTGGAAATATATAAAAAAAAAAAATCAAGAATGGTCATTTCATTCACAGGATAATGTGATTCAGTTGAGCAATACAGTAGATGATCATGTGGTACCTCTGATTTAGTTTGATATAGCAAACTAAACAAAGTTATATATATTTGAACTTTTATTAACTAAAAGAAAAAATAATTATTTGTCTTTTTATGCGTATATAAATTATTATTATAATAATATACGTAATGTTGTCTATCAATTAGAAGCAGCTTTTGGTCTTTGATTGCATGTTTAGTGGGTTTTTCAATAAGAGGCGATGGGCCAGGGGTAATAGTGTACACAACTTCAAAATAATGAAATATACTAGTTGGCTTGAACGCGCCAACTTTAAAATTTAATAAAAATAATAGAAGATAATAAATTGATGAAAAAATAAAAAGAAATGTAGAAAAATGATGTTAAATGAATGATTTTATTGAATAAATTCAATGTTACATGTGACCGTACAACACAATTAATAATCTTGTATTTACCTAAAAATACAAATATGCAACTAACAAACAAATTTTCTACATTTACATTAAAAAATACATTTCAATACATGTATAAATCTTAATAGTAAAAAATTATACTTAAAACAAAATTATTCTAAATAACAAACCTAAACCAACACATGAAAGCAAACAATACTTACCTTCTAATATGCACTTGCACTTAAATTCTCAAGTTTACTTTAAATTCGTGATTCTAAAACTTGCCCCTTTTTCTTTTTCTTTTTCATTTTTAAATTCATATTATGGTGGAGCATTCTATTCTTCTCACTATGATAGTGGCATCCATAGGAGCATAAAAACATCCTTGCAATTGTAAATGTGTTAGTGAAATGCAAAAAATAAATAATTATTTTTAAACGTTAGAACGTTAAAAGAATAACTTGCATGCTTATAAACACTCAAAATATGGAGAAAAAAAATAAAAGAATGAATTAATCCAACATTTATAATAATACCAAAAAATAGTATGCATAATACAAATGATATAAGAGATGCAAAAAAATATTTAAAAATATTCAAATTATTTTCAATTCTCTTAATACTTTTTACTTGTTTTAATTTAAAATTTAAATATCAAAAAAATGAAATTGAATAATATACATTGTGCTTACTTAACTGGAGAGTAAATTATATGATTCCTCTTCATGAAAATAGGAAGCCAATGAGAGATTAGACATTAGGAAAAAATCCAAGCACAAAGGGCTAACATCAAAGAGAATCAACTGAAAGAGTTACTATTTAAAGTGTGGAAAATCGAAGAGAACAAAAGCAAGAAAATAAAATAGAATTAATGAAAAGGAAGATGAAACAAAACTTGTAACTCTAGGGATTAAATGAATCCAATAATGAATGAAATAATGAAACCATTATTAGAGGATTGAAAAAAAAAATAAATAATTACATTAAGGACAAAGCATTATTAGGAGATTGAATGAAAAATAAAAAAACATAATGATAAAGGTAAATTAGAGGAAACGGAAAAAGTTGAATATAAGAGGAGAATAAGAGACTTATACATGTGATGGTACGCTACCAAAAGTTTGTCTAAACTCACTATTTATATATATAGTAGACAAAGGTTAGTGTTACTTTCTGCGGATTTCTGTAATTTTGTGTTTAATAAAAAAGGCCTGCATTTTGACCAATCACGTATGATGTCAGTAATAACTCAGAAATGAATTCGGCTCTGTTTGTTTCATTTTTTTTGGGTTTTTTTTAGATAATTTTATTATTAACTGTCTCATCCCAACTACTAACTCAGAAATTTTTATTTTGTTATTAACTCAGAAATTTTTAGTTTTGGGCTAGATCAGAGAAGTGTCGATGAGCTGTGTAGATGGGCTCTGGCATATGGGTCTCAAATACTAATAAAGGCTCTTTCGTTCCTTTCTTCCCCCCCCCCCCTCCAAAAAAAACCTCTTTCGTTCTTTGTAACTCCACTAATCTGTCAGCCAATTATAATATAGAGCATCTAGGTACACCTTGCAAGAACCTCTTGTCAGTAAAAACACGCACCCAACAAAAAGGGGTTAAAAAAAATATTTCAAATTTTCAATTCCTGATATTTCTCGTAATTTTTAGCCATCATTAACCATATCCAACTTTCTATTATATTCAATCCAAAGACGTCGAACTAAAAAAATCTAAAAACCCAAATTTCATCTCTGCAGTAATATGGCATCAGAACCTCTCTTCGGCGGTATTTTTCAAGACGAAATCCAGTTGTGCATCAAATGCCGTGAGTTTGTTTGCAATATACGTTGCTGAATATGATAATTAAGGTAATATATGATTTTATTCATCGATTTTGCTTGTTTCTTTCATGTATGAAGTTCTAATAATGATATTTTTTCTGAAATATTTATGAGGAGGGCCACGATTATGTACTCTATTTTCTTAAACAATGACTGAAATATTTGAATAAGAGCGACTCGATGACTGAAGAGAGGAGGTAATACTACTATTTTCTTAAACAATTGGTGTGTTTTTTAGGTTGGGTTATGTAGATCTAAGGTATTGCCATTGGATTATAAATGTTTGTGCATTTATTTTTAAGTTTTTTTTCATCGATTTGTTGTTGATTTTAGAAGAGATTAATAAATTTGGGTATTATTCATCACTTCGATATTGTTATTCATCGTTGATAATAAGATATTCAACACGAACAAATGTTACAGTAGCTTTTGTACAGGAATAATAACTACAAAGGTCAATTACAATTCAAGCACTGTTCAAAGGAAACGGTGGTAATTTTACCTTTTTTTGGTTTTAACCCTTGCTTTCTAACAAAATTTGGTATCGTACTCAACACACCTTATCGGATTATGAGGCGTACTGGATACACTTCTACAGCAATTTCGGTGAATGGGATAAAATTTGAGGAAAGTGGGCTACATGAACAGTCGTCCCAACTCCCGAACCAAAAATATTTTTGGAAAAATTTGAATCAAGGCCGGTGGAGAGATCTAAATTAATAAAAGGGGCATAACTCTTCCATAATTTGGATTAGACAGTAAATAATGTTATGAAATATTTAAAATAAAAATATTCATATAATGACTGGATTACCTTAATTCTTTTATAATGACTCTTGGATAATTTAATTGCATCTCGTAACCATAAGTTTTTTCTTGCAACGGTAACATACAACTCTAATTGCACAATTTCTAGAATATCAAATTTCGTTAAATTAGAATGTGACAATATACTATATAAATGTATTTTCTACATATCAAGATTGTTATTCATAGTTCATTTTTCCATTAAAATTTAATAATCAAACATGAAGAGTAAAATGTGTACTTCAAAAAATTGAGAGACCATGGTAAAATACAAAATCCAATATGTATAGAAGTATATTAAATTAATCGCGCAATACCTTTGATCCAATCACTTAAATGCATAAATAATTAGATTCCAAAAGAGCAACAAATGATCAAATATATTAAAAATGAAAAAGAGGAACTTGTTCGTAAAATAAAAAATAATTGTTGCATTTAATATTGTAAAAAATCTTCAACTTAATGTTTAATCATATAAAAAAAACAAAAGAATATATAAGAATATATCCAAGTTAATCAAGAAATGAAAATTATGTTATTTTGTAATTTATTTATTCGATTTTTGTGATTTCGCAAAACAAGACGTCGGCGGTGGAGCTTCGGTCGAGAATATGAGCGAGGAACAGGGTTTTGTTCCTTGTTTATTTTTATTTATTTGATAAAAACTAAGGACAATCTTGTCAAAGGATAAATATTTTAATTTTTGTCAATTTTAGAAAGTAAATTATTGTCCCTAATCCAAATTATAGAAGAGTTGTACCCTTTTTATTAACTTATATCTTTCCACTACCCTTAATTCATATTTTCCCAAAGAATTTTCTTTTTTCTTTTCACCCCTTTCCACATTTTACAGTAAAAAATTTAACTTTGGAAATAAAAAAAAAAAAATCAAGAATGTGATTCAGTTGAGCAATACAGTAGATGATCATGTGGTACCTCTGATTTTGTTTGATATAGTAAACTAAAAAAAGTTACAGTACAAAATATCATTTGTTACCTTTCAACCTTTATTAACTAAAAGAAAAAATAATTATTTATCCTTTTATGAAACGTTGTTTGACATTTTTGTGTGGCACTATCAATCAGAAGTGAGCTTTTGGTCTTTAATTGCATGTTTAGTGGGTTTTTTCAATAAGAGGCGATGGGCTAGGGGGTAATAGTGGACAGAACTTCAAAATAATGAAATATACAAAGGTTAGTGTTAATTTCTGCGGATTTCTGTAATTTTGTGTTTGATGAAAAGGGTCTGCACTTTGATCAGTCACATTTTATATATATATATATATATATATATATATATAGACACACACACTGAGGAAGCTATCTAGATCACTCTGGGAGAAGGAGGATAGTCAAAAGATAGCTTCAAAGTTATGTCCGGGATGCCGACAAAATATGCAACCCCGAGGTACTAGATAATCCTAATTTTACTAGAAAATCGGCAACTTCATTATCGTCCCGTTTAATGTGGGA